TTTCAAAGTGGCTAGGGAGAGAAATTGAAATGTTCCCAACACATAGAAATAATCAATACTCAAGGTGATGGATACCCCAAATACCCTGACTTTTATATATTTCATGCATGTATCAAAATACCACATGTATATTCATAAATATGTGCAAATATTATCTATTAATACAAATGTTTGCACAATGAAAAAGATGAAGAAAAGGAGGTAATAATAATGGCTGCGAATTTTCCAAAGTTAATGACAGATAAAATATCACAGATCCAGGAAGTTCAGACATCAGACAGGATAAACTTCCCAATATCTACACACAGTTATATCATATTCAAACTGTAGAAAATCAAAGACAAGAGAAACCCTTGAAAGAAGCCAGAAGGAGGAAAACTCCGTACCTATAGAGAAACAAGGATAAGAATTACATTGGGCTTATTTTTGGAACCATGCAAGCAAGAAGAAAGTGGGGTAAAATATTTAAATTGTCGAAAGAAAAATACACCAACCTAGAATTCTGTATCCAGTGAAATTATTCTTCAGAAGCGAAGAAGAAATGAAAACGTTCCCAGACAAGCAAAAAATCAGGGAATTTGTTATCAGTAGACCTGCCTTGCAAGAAATGTTAAAAAAAAAAATTTTTTTCAAGAAGGAAAATTATATAGGTCAGAAACTCAAATCTACACAAATAGAACAGTGTTAGGGAATAAAAGTAAAATAACATCTTTTTTTCTTATTTTTAATTGATCTAACAGATAATGATTTGTTAAAAATAATAATAGCAATGGATTATTCAGTGGTTATAGCCACCCTAGTGTTAGCACAATAGGTGTGTGAATTGAGTAGTCACTGTGTACACGAGTTCAACAGCAGGGACTCTCATTCACCAAGGATGATGGATGCAGAATGTACTGTCCCTCAAGATGATCAACTGGTCTCTTGGTGTCAAGTAGTCTACTCTGAACCTCTTCTTTTTTCATAGAAACAGGGATGACATGTTGCCCAGGCTACTGTCATACTACTGGCCTCAAGCAATCCTCCTGCCTCAGCCTCCCAAAGTGCTGGAATTATAGGCCTGAGCAGTGACTCATCTTAACTGGACTTGAACCTTATTTCAGTCACGGTTTTGCCTTTCCTGCTTGCAGAGTTTCAGCCAGCATCATATGTGAGTATTCTATTGACACAAGACCCCACAATGCCATATTGAACAAAAGGATCGACTTTACAGGAAAGGAGGAGCAGCAATGAGCGTACAACCATGAAATCCATTGATTCTTTAACATACTGAAGCCTTCGACCTGATACAGCAATGGGAAAGCCTGTTGAACATGCCTCTGAAGGCCACCCTTGACATGGTAACCAGCGAGGATGTGGCGCCAACACTCCAGGTTGCAGCATATACTGTAAATCAATGACCATTAAATGGTGTGCTATCTCTTAGGTAGATCACCTGGGTCCAGCAAACTAAGGGTGGAAGTCGTTCTTATCATAACTTCCAGTCATGTCCTCTTTAATGTGTGTTTTCTATTCCTACAACTTTGGACTCTGCACATTTAGAGGTCTTGGTTCCAGAGGGGGAATGCTTCCACCAGTGGGCACACCAACAGTCTTATTAAATTTCAAACGATGTGTCCCACCTAGTCATGGTGAGCTTCTCATGCTAAGAGAGCAACAGTCAAGGAAAGAAGATACTGATCATCAGGACTTGGAAGTAAATGGACAGAGCGTGTTTGGCACCCAGGTAATACATGCATATCTCCAGTATGCCTTCACTCCATTTTGAGGGTAAAAGTGCTAAGTGCAGTGGCTGTGGCTGGAGAAGGCATGGTGACTGATGATTCTCATACCTTTTAGAGGTGAGAATCTGGGTCATCCCATGTGGTGAGTCATTCACATCAGCAGAGGTGCCTGCTGAGGATGAGGGGAATCTAGTTTAGGTGGTTGAGGGGATGGTGAGTACCATTTGTGTCTTTGAGTCCATTTGTGTCCTTGAGACTGTCTGCTGTGGCAGGGGCTGTAATCTATCTTTCTAACCTTCATTTTGAAAGTTTCCCTCAGGAAAAGAGGTCCATCCGAATCTCCGATCAGATTCTCATGCAAGGGGTGGGTTGTTGGTGGAAACTATGGGACACTGCCCAGATTCCACCACCCACACCAATACCCCCAGGGCCCTGCACTTTAGAACTGAAGTACTGTCCCCAGTTTGTAGCTGGGTTCTCCCTCCTAGTGATTGTCCTTGGATAAAGAGGGCCACCTTGCCCAACATCATGCTTCCCTCCTGGGGGACAGTTCATGCCCAGTGACTGCAAGTCAATGAGAAGTTTTAAAGGCCCTTTGTCTCCATCTAGGACATCTCTACAGGGCCAGCCATCCTAGCTGGCCAGAGTTCCCCCATGGGATCAGTTGAGGCCTTTGTTATAACTTGGTCACAGCTTAACTTCTCTCTCGGACCAGTTCTAGTTTATTCCCTCCCCACTGGGGTGATCAGAAAATCACACCTGAATTAATATCCTACATACAAACCTCAGACTTAGAGCCTGCTTCTTATGGAAACCAACCTGCAACAATCTCCAAGAGTTGGACATATCCCTTTTTATCTTCTCTTATTTTAAGTATAACTAAGATATCCTTTAAAAAAAATCCTTTAATGTCCTCTGCTCATTTGGGGCATTTAGCTTTCTTCATAATATATTAATACAACCTTGATACTGTTATATTTTCATCCTTGGACCTCTGCTCTGCTTTTCATCGGTAATACAGATCATTCAAAAGCAAGAACTTCCCCATGAGTCCCCTACATATGACATGGGTTTCTTTAGTATGTTTCCTGCTGCTTCTTTATTGGGACCATTTGTGATACTACCATGAAAATTATAGTTTTGGTTCCTCTCAACCTTTATAGCTGTGTTTTCTCATCTGCAAAAAAGATATCTATAAATTTTCTTTAAATTTTTTGTGCTCTACTTTTGTAAAGCCTAGGATACACATCTGACCTAGCCAGTGTATCACTGGCTTCTCTTAGAATTCAAATGCCAGTTTGGGTTTGTTGTAGTTGACACTTCTCCCCACCCTTGAACCTCTATTCTCAAGGATAAGTCAACTGAGAAGCAGACACATGCACTATTGAGTGCATTGAGAAGTTCTTCCTTGGCAGCAAGTGAAAATCAGAAAGACTCTAGAACCACTTTTCCTTGTTTGAAATGGATTGTACTCTCAGGGCACCTCTTTAAGGACTATGCTGCAGACCCTGTGGTGTGTGGTCAGCCTGACTGCTGGGCTTTCAGCCCAGGTTCTTGCTTTTCTCCTCTATCCTCTGCTGGGCCAAGAGCCAAGACTGAGCCCAGTCCAGTTGGCTGAGACTCTGGCTGCTTCTCCTAGTTTCTGCCAACATTCTTTGTTTCTGGTATTTCTACTCTAGTTCATGTTGATCCTTGAGCTAAGACTCTGGTCAACAGGATGCCAGGCAATCTTGTTTCCCAGGATGCCTCACCCCTCTCCTTGCCCTCAGATTAGGCCCTTCACACTGATGCTGGCCCAAGATGCACCTGTTCACTATGACTGCACCTGAGTCCACAATAAGACTTTGAACCTGAACTGTTAGCACCTGCAGCCTGTGTGAGTTCCCCTGCCCCTGTGTCAGGCACCTCAACAAAATCTTTTCTCACAGCAAATGCTTACATGCCCATCACTTCAGCCAGTACTGCTGCTTTGACAAATTAGTCCCTGTTAATAAGAATTAAGCCCAGGATAGTAGTACCCCTGATTAGATTCCCCCACTTTCTGAAGGGTAAAATTGCTGGCAAAACAAGGGAACATTTTCCAGAATTTGAGCATTATCTTAATGAGACTTTGCATGAAGATTTAATTTAGGTTTAGTTGTGACCAAAATATCTTGCTTCTTTTTTTGTTGTATATCATTAAAATATTAGCCAAAACTTTCATCTCAGCAGATAGATTTATATTATTTTCCCCCAATTACTTACATTTTCTTTAATTTCAAATTTGTAGATATTCAAAAGAGTAGGTATCTTCTATTTCAAAGCAAGAAAGGCTAAATGTTTGGCAGAAAACAAGTAGTATTAACACGTACACAAGCCACAGTGAAAACAGTTTACTGAGATTTGTAAAAGAGAGGACCACTCATATGCCAGACACTCTGACATTAACTATATGTCAGAGGGGGGAAAAAACAAGTACCAAGAACCAAGATGTTTTAAGAATTAGCAGGGAAACAGTGGCTCGTAATTAAGCAGCAATAAGATGACTAAGGTTACATTATAGTAGTCTAATAACTAAAACATCCACTGATCTTTCCAAGGACTGATAAGCAGCTTAACATGTTATATTAAGATATTTGTTATGGTTTCCTAAATTAAGACCTTACATTTGTAATTATTTACTCAACATCATTAGTGTAATCTCTTAAGCAAATTATACTTTGCTTGGGTCAATAGATTTCATTTTTATTCTGTAGCCCAAGTATGCGTACAGGCCCTGGATAACCCAGTCAAAAATTTACACACAAAGAATCATTTGCATGTGTAAAGGACTGAATAGTCAAAATGCACAACTGACTAAATTCAAGGCAAGCCTATACTTTAGAACAGCATCTTTCCTGAGCTCAGTAAGTTAGTAAGTGACCACACTGTTTTCCTTTAGCGAAGCGAAATGGCAAGAGCGACCTGCTGGCAGATTCCACCTCATTACGCTGGAACAATGACTGGAAATAAAGGAATGATATATGAAGCAAGATAATTTAAGACCACCAAAGAAGTGACAAGGGAACCACATTTTTTTGTTTGTCCCAAGAAGCTGCCCTGCGTCCAGTTCAATGGATGTCACTGCAAGTTCAGCGCGGGGCAAATGGTGGGTGGACTGAAGCTTCAGGGGCCCCTTTGGTTTAAACTCATGTGATCCAGGTTGGCTCTAGAGATTTAAAAGTCAAATCTCGGTACAAGCATCTTTCATCTGGAGATCTGGAAGCAAATCTCGACAAGGGAGCGGGGAAGAGAAGGGAGAGACGGCCGCTGTCCTCTAAGTGAAGGTTTCACAAAACGAAAGAGGGAACCCAGCGAGGGTCCCTTTCACTTCTCAAATGACTTTAATAAAGGCTGGTCTTCTTCATGATCCGAAGGAACTCCTCCTCGTTCACTTCGCCGTCTCCATCCCGATCGGCCTCGTCGATCATTTCCTGCAGCTCCTCGTCCGTGAGGTTTTCCCCCAGCTCCGTGGCCACGCGCTTCAGGTTTTTGAAAGAGATCTTCCCGGTTTCATCGTCGTCGAAGAGCCGGAAAGCCTTCAGGATCTCTTCCTTGGTGTCCTTCTCGGCCATCTTCTGAGTCATCACGGCCAAGAAGTCGTTGAAGCTGATCTTCCCGGTGCCTTCCTTGTCCACCTCCAAGATCATTTTCTTCATCTCTTCCTTCTTGGGCTCAAAGCCCAGGGCTCGCATGGCCACCTTCAGCTCCCTCACGTCGATGGTCCCGCTGCCGTCAGCGTCGAAGAGGTCAAACGCCTCCCGAACCTCCTGCTTCTGCTCTTCGGTGAGCTCGGGCTTGGGACCCGCCTTCTTCTTCTGGCTGGTGGAGGGCGCGTTGGGTTTCTTCAGGCTGAGAGCCATCGCTCCGCGCGGCCGCGGCCTCAACGGCGGCGCCGCGGTCCCGGCGGTCACCGTGGTCACGGCGCTCGCGCTCGGACGCCCCCAGCTGGCGGGGCGGGGCCTCCCTGGTTCTCGCGCAGCCGCGCCCCCCACCCCCGCCGAGCAACCTGCTCTCCTCCAGCCACCACGTCCGCGAGGTCTCGCTTACCCTCCCAGCCACAGTTTCCCTCGGTTTAAGACCCAGTTTCCACGCGTTGACACCTGAGCTGGCCGGCACAGCCTGTAGCCACAGTTGCCTTCTTGCATTCACTGGCGTTGGCTGTTCTTTTCAGGCCCTTGGCACCCGCAAGACCAGCTTTGTAGATGCACGGGGAAGTGCTTCTTGTCTCCTTTTCCGTGCTAATTAAAAACACTTTCTGGGTCTGAGGTTACCTAAGGGTAAATGTAGGATAATTGAAAGGACATAACGTGGAGTCAGTGTTGCCAATGAACAGCCTTTCTTTTTTTTTTTTTTTGAGTTGGAGTCTCACTCTGTCGCCCAGACTGGAGTGCAGTGGCTGCTCCTGGCCCTCGCAGCCTCGACCTGCTGGGCTGCGGCGATCCTTCCGCCTCAGCCTTCCAAGTTGCTGGAACTACAGGCGCGACTAATTTGTTTTTTTTTATTTAGTGTAAAGATGAGGTTTCGCCAAGTTGCCCAGGCGGGTCTCAAACCCTCCGGCTCAGGCAATTCACTCACCTCGCCCTCCCAAAGCGTGGGATTACCCGCTGAGTCACCGAGCCCGGCCATGAACAAGCCATTTTAACATTGCTTAACTTTGTCATATTTTTCTAGCAGATCACCTTGATTTACCGTCTAATCACTAGCCAAAGGACAGAACCGGTTTCTCAGAGGTAGCTATTGATATTTGCTTTACAACCCCTTCCCAGCTTGTAAACAAGTTAATCTAATCAGCTCTTCATGACACAGACCCCATCACCATGGCAGCAATCATGGGACTAATCCACCCATCTGCCTGCGGTCTACCACCTGACCTCAGTAGCTGCTCTTACCTGTTCCCTCCGTGATGACATGAAGCAGACCACCACCCAATCACATCAAAGGGAAAGTTTAAAAGGATTCGACTGGAAGCGGGTGCCATTGCTTTGTTAAACTCCAGTGTATCCGCATGGCTCTTTGAGCTGTGGCCATTATGTTTCTTGCTTTGGCACCCCCTCCCCCCCCCCCCCCCCC